AAAATGTGGAGACCAAATAAGGACTGGACTTAACCTTTCCCTCATCTCTGGCTGGAGAGAGAGATCAAAAGGAAAACAAAAATGAGGAAAAGGTTCGAAAGCAAGAGAAATACTAACCTCTATGCCCCTTTGCATTTTTGGTGCTTTTAAGATTACTTGGTTGTTGAAAAAAAACTTCTTTTCCCTTTCTTCTCCCTGCTCCTGACCTCCCTTATCAGCGACCCTCTGTTTTGATCGGAAGCCCTCGGGCTTTCGCGTTTTGATGCTTGAGCCGTCGGGCCCCCCGGCTGCTCAAGCATGGTGGAGCCTCTGTGCTCCGTGCTCCGATGGCCCTCGAGGCCTGTCGGTTTTGTTGGCCCCTTTGGTGGCTTTTGCTTTTTCAGTTTCTTTTTCTGTTTTTGGGTGGGTTTGCTTGGTTGTTTTGCTGTTTCTTGGTTGTGTTTGTACAGATTCGGCGGCCCTCCCCTCTTCCAGCTGATCAGTGGCGGCGCTCGCGGGAGTTCCAGATCTGGCATCCATCGCGGCCGGCTGCTGCTTCCGGGTGATCGCCGCTGCCGCTCGGTTTCCTGGCCCGGCATCCTGGAGCCTGGCGCAACTTCTCCAAGGGTAGATTGAAGGGTGTCCCGTTTGGATCGCTCGACTAAAGGCCGTGGTCTCACCAGGTCCTTAGTGGTTGTTCGAGTGTCAAGTGCACCTCCCTTTGGCCTCTGTGTATGGGTCTGCTCTGATCCTTTCGTTCCAGATGTAATTTTATTGTTTATTATCTTTGTAGATGCCGTATGGCGGACTTTGTAATGCAACAATCTCGTTATTTCTCAAAAGATTACTTGGTTGTTCTGTGAGAAAATAAGAATTGGACTCTAATGGGTCATGTAAAATCTGGCCCATATCCAAGTGAATCAAATCATCATTAAGTGCAGTCCTGAGGGGGTTAATTCCAACTAGAAAAGATGAAGTGGGAGTTGGGCTCTAATAGGCCTTGCAAGAAAGTGACAACAAGGCAACCATTTAATCATAAGTCATTCCTCACTGAGACTTAAAATTCAAGATAAATGGCTTAAGAACAATTAAGTTGAAGGTTTTAAATTCAAATACTAAGGTGAGAGAAGGATTGTAATTGAAAACAAAAGTATAGTTGGTCAGAGAATATTAGATCCAGCTTCTGTTCAAATAAAATTAATTGTTTCCATTAAATCGAGAATAAAAAAAGGTTTAATTTTATATTAGTTTTAGATAAATCTTATGGTTTATGGCCCAAAACAAAATAATAATAGTAACAGTTGAGGATGCATAAAAATATGATGTCTTAATATTAAAAATATTAAAATATTTTATTATATTA